ACTTTGCTAATGTCCTTCAAACCACTGTGTTTTCCAATCTGCCAGTGAGAAGTGTTTTTAAGGAAGTGAAAATCATTTACAATATATTAAATCTTAGTATGATCATACATTCTTATTTGCATTTAATTAAGTACAGGTCAGAATAAGTATATTGATTCATTTTTAAATAAATATACAGTATGTGTTACACTGAATGACCATGGTTTGTTACTCTGAATTGCCAAAAAGAGAGATAACACTGCCGCTGTTCCCATAACTGAAATATGTTTAGTATGAATCAGTGTCATTAAATGAGTTTTAATAATAATCCTGAGTAAATGACTGAAGAAACAGATGTTGAAATATAATAAGCACGTTCCTGATGCTCCCCTGTCATGCTTGCTTAGCTTGTCGCTTTGTTTCTGACTTGCTCAGCCTCAAAAATGCCAAGACAACACATATATTTTTTAACTTGGTATTTTATATGTTTATTTAAAGATGTATTTGGTCAAATCAAAGTCCGGACCATTACGCTGAACGACAATTTCACACTTTGTAACATTATTTCCCCCATATTTTGACATTTTATTGTCACAAAAGTTATTTGAAATATGAAAGTAGACAATTTACTTGCATTTAAGATGTTTTATTTAAGCATTTAAAATGACTTTTGTAAATGGAATTTGATGCAGACACTAAAATGGTGACGTCTCGTCTTTGACCCACATACCAAAAAATATTCATACAAATAAATACATGAATACATAAATGACTAAATACAAATAATTATAACTAAACACATAAATAACACTCTTACATGACTTAATTATATTCTCAAACATAATCTTGTTGCTTTTATATATTGCAACACCTCTTCTTTCGTACCTTGTTTCCTTGCCAACAGATTTTTACTGACATTTAAAATGTTAATTGTATAAACAACACGTGTCTTTGATGTTCATACTCTGTACAATATAATATGAGCTGTTCAGCTCTCTTCTGCATTACAAATGTTAATTGTATAAACAACACTTGTCTTTGATGTTCATACTCTGTACAATATAATATGAGCTGTTCAGCTCTCTTCTGCATGACAATAACTGCACATAACCCATTGTGCTGCTGTTTTATTTGATATAAGTTACCATTAAGTCCAGTATGACCTATAAGTGATCTTCTTATAACTGATTCTTCTTCATATTGTCGTGAATCCTCTTTCTTTACCCACATTTCCTTCAATCTTATATAAATGTCTTCCCTTTGTTTCTCTGTCCCACATTTGCTGCATAGATTAATCCTAGCTTTTCTAATAATTGCCTTAGTTTCAGATTAGCTCGTGGGAATTGTGATTTCAACATGATTGCATTTTATTCAGCTTTCTGCTCATTTCCCTCTATTCCTACATGGGCAGGAATCCACAGAAATCAGTGTTCATTCCTTGATTATGCACCCAGATAGCAAAAATAATCTGGGCCAGATCTGGCCCAGACCCATCGGAAGTTCTGGTCCAGATCCGCACAACGGACTCGGGCCGGTGTCTTTTGGCACAACGGGCCAATACCGGCACGGATCCGTTTTTCCGGATCTGGACCAGAACTGGGTCAGCTCTGGACCAGATGCGGATTCCTTTATGGTGATTTGGGCCAAATGTGGGCCGGATCTGGTCCAGCACCATGCCGGATCTAGGCCAGCTCATTTTGTGTATATACAGTGGGTACGGAAAGTATTCAGACCCCCTTAAATTTTTCACTCTTTGTTAACAGCAGAAGAAAGGAAAGAGTGTGTGAGTGAAGGAGGTTGTGAATGTGTGTAGATGTGTGTTAGTTACAGGATCAGAGAAGGACACTGTTCCGCCGTCATAGTCCAGATTCACTCTCACACGATCAAGCTGCTGTTTAACACCAAAACCAGAACCTGGAGACAATCCATACTCCACACACCAGACACCAGTGTTAAAGAAACCCAATCCCTTCCTCTGGTTTGATGCTGTAGTTACTCCAAGACTCCAGTGTTTACTCTGTTTAAGCTCCACATCCCAGCAGTGTGTTCCTGAGTTAAACCCCTCTGAACCCAGAACACAGAGATACCAGTCAAATCTCTCTGGATTATCAGGAACAGGTTGATCATCACCGCTGACTCTCACACTGGTCAGATCATCAGACAGAACGAGACGTGGATGAGCCGTGTTTGGATCCAGAATCACAGGAGCTGATGAGACACAATCAACAGATGCTGTTATTCTGATGTTCATATAATGATCAAGAGTGAACACAACACAGATGATTATGAATTATGATCAAACACATCAGACATGTTCCTCTCATCACTGTCAGTCATTCTCTGTGTGATTTATCAATACTGAACGTTACATCAGAAACAGTGAGGGACACAAACTCAACACATATTCATTTCATTTACGTTCTCATTTATATTACATTATAGTCAGAAGCTGCTTTTAATACAAACTCTTACCTTTCAACAGAACTGTACACATTATTTCATATTCAAACGAGATCAACTATAATAATAATGCAGAAGAAAAAATGTTTATATCTATATAATTTTCCTCAGTGTTTTTCTTGTATGAATCACAAAGCTATTACTGAATGCTGTCTATTATTATTAATAAATAAACACTAGATATTATTCCACAATAATACTAATAATAATAATAAATGTTAATAATAATAATAATAATAATAAATGTTATTAATAATAATAAGAACAATAATAAGCTTGCTGGTATTAACAAAAACTACAACTTAAATTATTCAGTTGTTTCTTTAATTATTCAGTAATTAAAATACAACTTAAAATAAATTATAAACATTAGATGATCATCTATACAAATAAAATCGAATGATTAGAAAAGTTGCTTTGGCTCGAAATAAAATAAATCAGTGTGAAGTATTCAAATGACTAAAACTAAAAATTTAATATAATTAGTTATAGTTATACATATTAAAAGGAAGCTAAATAAATTTTTACAGTAATAAAAAGGACAAAAAATGAATACAAAATTATATATAAATATATAAAAAAAAAAAATACAAAAAAAAAAACATTTGATCTGTGCCACTGCATTTGATTGATTATTTTTCCTAAACTCTTAGTCTGTGTTCATCTGAAGAAAGAAAGTGGTACACGTATGGGATGGCATTACGGTGTGAAGGATGGATTTGTTTCTGCTCCACTGTGCTGCATTTTAATTGTTGTTGTTGCACTAGATAGATGTGTTTGATCTGTGCCACTGCATTTGCTTTTCTCCCTTTAAATTTAACTTTTGTCTGTCTGTCTGTACAGTACAGTTTTTGAGGACTTTTTACATCCCTTTCTGAAGTGAAGCTGCTGATTTTGGTGCAGTAGATGATCTGGTTCTTCACACATAATGCTGAAATCTGTCAATATTGCATCATTTCCAGTGTGTGTGTATGCGAGCTCAGATCTTCTGCAGTCAGACTCACTGTTCTGGACCATGTCCTGCATCTTCTTCCAGACTCTGAAGGGCAGGTTGCCCAAGTAACGTGGCACATGAATCAAAGCTCCAGAAGGAGTCTGTGGATCCGGCTGTGATGAGATCTGGACTCTGGAAGAACATTCAGGATCAGAACTGCAGTGGCTTTGGATCAGAAGCAGAGAGAGCAGAGACAGCAGCAGATCACTCACCTTTCCATTGAGACTGGAAACTCCTGCAGAACAAACACACCATTGATCATCAACAACTCAATCAATCAATCAATCAATCAATCAATCAATCAATCAATCAATCAATCAATCAATCAATCAATCAATCAATCAATCAATCAATCAATCATCTGAAATCAGACCTTCAGAAAGCAGACATCACTGGCTTTCATCATCTCCTCCATGTCTTTGATTGTGTGTGAAAGAGCTGAGATGTGTCTGTTCATCTCCTCCAGCTTCTCCTTCATCATCTGCTTCTTCTGCTCCTCTTCCTCCCTCAGTGCAGTGATTGTAGCTTCTTCTTCATCTCTGAGAAACTGATGAAGCTTCTCAAACTGCTGTTTAAATAAGGATGATGGCTTCAGTGGTGAATTTTCGAATATGTGAGGGAGCGGAAATCCTACCCTTTGTCTATTCAAATAGAGGGGGAAGGGATGGATATCCCAAAGTGAGGGTATTTGACGAATTCGGGTCAGAAGTAAGAAATATACCCACTAGAAGTTGGAATGACCTCGAAAGAAGTTGATATGGGGGAAGGATCCGAGCGGGGATCCTTAGCTCCCAATTTTATTCCCCATAGAGAGGGGAATAGAAACACCCTAGATCCAAGTGCTCCACAGCCGGAAAATCCCGAAAGCCCAGATGATGAGTTTGCATCAGAAAATGAGGAACCGCTTAGGATATATTTCGGCAAAGGCAGGAATTTAATTATCCTTAAAGAAGGGCGGTTGGAAGAGGAAGAGGAAGCTAGCGTTTTAGTGAACGCGGCCAATACCGAACTCCGACACGGAGAAGGGGAACGCGGCCAATCCCGAACTCCGACATGGAGCAGGGGTGGCAGGTGCCTTTCGGAAGCACGCAGGGCAAAGGTTTCAGGATGAGTCAGATCGAATAATAGATCGCAGAAAAAATCCAATAAGGACAGGCGATGCCGTTTTGCAGAAAAAAGGAGGTCCAAATGGAAAGCCAGTAATTCACGCAATAGGACATAAAAAGGGGCAGAACGGCGACATAGCGGAAGAACTGACAGCGATTCTCACTTTGCACACTTTAATAGACAATATATGTAAGCTGGCCAGAGATAATAAATATCGCGCAGTAGCTATGCCCATTATTTCAGGAGGGATCTTTGGATTTAACGAAATTACAATGGGCGCAGCCCTAGTGAATGCGTTACTAAGAAAAACAGATCGAGCTGATTGGCCTAAAGCGTGGATAATTTGTCACCCAGATCCCAGGGTCCTAGAAAATGTAACTACGAGAGTAAATCAGGATCAGGATGCTGGGGAAGGGAGGTCGAGTCAGAGAGCTGATATGATACAGAGACCGACAAATCCCGAGGCAGAGTTGCCAGAGGAAAGTTCAGAACCCGAATGGCCCGAGCTGAGGCGAACGAGAACAGCCAGGGGAAGGAAAGATAGGGTAGAAAACCCGTTCCCCAAATTAAAACTGGGAAGGAGTTATGAAACCTTTCGATTAGGAAAGGGCTTTTATAGACCAACGCATCCCACGAGCAGAAAAAGAGAAACGGCTCTAGACAGAATAGATAAATGGGATAAAGAATATGCTCCAGGAATAACTTGCGGTCAAGTCTGGTCCCTTTTAAATGGGGGGAATGCAGTTAAGATTTTGGCAGATACCTCGCTGACACAGCGAGCTAAGAGAGCCATATTAGCCCAAAAAGATTTGATAAGTCAGGCCGCGCTGGAGAGAATAATTAGAGGCGCGGGTGGTAATGATTTATTCGAAGAATATTATTCTGATGTGGGACCAGAAAGTGACAGCGCGGACAGTGACTTGGAGGAGAATCAAGAAGATTCAGATTACGAGCAGTTAGTGGTTGAAAGGGAGGTGAGAGATGTGACACCTGTCCCTGTCAGAGCGGCACGAGCGCCGAGGAGGCTTCGTTTTAGAGACAGGTCTCCGGAGTCAGACTTTCAGCCAGAGAGGGAAATGAATCAACCAGTGGAGTTTAATGCGCTAAATCAACATTTAGAGGCACTGCATTTAGGGACACCGGGTCAGAGAAGGCCAATGACCCCCGTAAATCCAGAGCATTCCCCCAGACAAACAGGAATTAATTCGATGGAATCCAGGGTTACTCTGGAAGAATTAATGAAAAAAGATCAGGAAATGAAGCTTTTGAAAAAGGCCAAGTTGAAAAATACCACAGTGAAAGGAAAAGTCAGAGAACTGGTTCGTTATGGCGAACAGATGAAAATATCTGGTGAACCGATAGACTCACATATTCTAGCCGAGTTTGGACTGCATGGAGGCAGGAAATTAGCAAAGACCCTAGAGGGACTAATACCTACTAATAAAGATGAAGTCGAACAGGAGCGTTTTGAGGAGAAATGGCGAACAGTAGGCGCTTTGACAGCTTGTCAGGAGATAGCTATAAAAGGAGTCGAGGGGATCTTGAAGCATATTTTCCAGGGAGTGAAAAGAAATGCTCTAGTGGGGGCAAAAGAATTTCTCCTTTATGGTCCCGAGACTTCTCCAGAAGAATTAGAGAAGGCTTTGATTCGATACGACAGGAAAACTGAAATAATTCAGGCAGACAGAGAGAAAACGAATAATAAACCACCTCGGCAAAAGGACCCGCCCAGGCGGTCAAGCCGCGAAAGAAAACCATATAATCGCCATGACCGGGAGGCCAGGCCTCCCTTTCGCGCAGAGCGTAGAACAGAGGAAAAATGGAAAAAAGGGCCAGAGAGGGCAGAAAGAAACGGTCCCAAAAATCAGTCGCAGGGAGAAAGGCGATTTAGGGACCAATCAAGACCTAGAACAAATCGAAACGATAATAATAGGGATAAAGGGAATTATATAAACCCCGAAAAATGGAGCAAATTAAGTGCCTGGGGGCAGGAAATTAGCAAAGACCCTAGAGGGACTAATTCCTACTAATAAAGATGAAGTCGAACAGGAGCGTTTTGAGGAGAAATGGCGAACAGTAGGCGCTTTGACAGCCTGTCAGGAGATAGCGGTAAAAGGAGTCGAGGGGATCTTGAAACATATTTTCCAGGGAGTGAAAAGTAACGCTCTGGTGGGGGCGAAAGAATTTCTCCTTTATGGTCCCGAGACTTCTCCAGAAGAATTAGAGAAGGCTTTGATTCGATACGACAGGAAAACTGAAATAATTCAGGCAGACAGAGAGAAAACGAATAATAAACCACCTCGGCAAAAGGACCCGCCCAGGCGGTCAAGCCGCGAGAGAAAACCATATAATCGCCACGACCGGGAGGCAAGGCCGCCCTTTCGCGCAGAGCGCAGAACAGAGGAAAAATGGAGAAAAGGGCCAGAGAGGGCAGAAAGAAACGGTCCCAAAAATAAGTCGCAGGGAGAAAGGCGATTTAGGGACCAATCAAGACCCAGAACAAATCTAAATGATAGTAATAGGGATAAAGGGAGTTATATAAGCCCCGAAAAATGGAGCAAATTAAGTGATGAAGAAAGAGCTCGCATTATAGAAGGAAGGAGCAAAAGCAGGCCTGAGGCTAAAATAAACAGAGTCAAAATACATGACACACAGGAGAGAGAGCCCCTGCTGAGACAGCGGAAGTGCCAGCTAAGGGAAAGAGAAACAAAAAGAAAGACACAGCGGTAAAGGAAGAATAGCAGGTTTCGGCTCCCCTCAAGAAAGCCCTGTTAAAAACAAAAGAAATTGACCAACAATTATACCAGACTTATGATAATACTACTTTTATCGTTGATACTGGGGCTCAAATGACCGTTATAAAACCGACAGAGAAACATGACGAATTTGTAGAAGTAATTACAGTAGAAGATTTTGAAGGAAATTCCAGAAGCAAAGATGTTTGGAGGAAAAATAAAATAAAAGTGGTTCATGGGAGCGAAAATCTCCTGTGCCCGGATGATTTAATCAAAATTGGCAGAATAGGAGTTGTTGATCAAGATAAAGAAATAAAAAGGCTAGTAAGAGAATCAGAATTGAGCAATAAAGGGGAGCTGGAAAAGATTCTGAGAAAATATATGAACAGTTATTCTAGGAGTAAGAACGATTGCGGTAAAGTCCAATCTGAATACGAACATGTGATCCAAGGAGGAATTCCACCTCCTCAAAGACAATATAAAATTAACAGCTTAGCAGAAAAGGAAATTGCCGAGACAATTAAAGAGCTGACCGAGCAAGGAATTGTCAGGAAGCTGTCAAAAGGCGAGTTTTCCCCAACGAACTCTCCGTTACAGGCCGTACCGAAGAGCGAAGGCACATGGAGATTAGTTACTAATTATAAGGCCCTAAATAAAGTCACTGTACCTGATAATAGATATTTAATCAACTGCGAAGAAGTGAGTGCAGAAATAGGCAAGGAGAAAAACTGGCTGTCAAAAGAGGCTGGTTTAAAACCTAGCCTGAAAAAGATGGAAGTAGGAAAACATGAAGTAGACTTCCTAGGATTTAAACTGGGTAGAGACACGAAGGCTCTAACAACAAGTACCAGAGTGAAACTGGAGGAAATGGAAAAGAAAGGGCCCCCCCAGTCCAGGAAACAGCTGCAATCGCTGCTAGGAACCCTGAATTATATTAGGGAGTTGATACCCAAATATTCGAGGGAGGCAAAGGTTCTCTATCAGGGGACAAAGGAAGGAAAATGGAACTGGACAGAGCAAATGGAATGTGCCCGTCTGAAATTAATCAGAATGGCCCTTAACTCGCTATAGAGAGGTGAGGAAAGAATGCCAGATCTGCAGAAAATTTATGACAGCGAAGGGCTGCATAGAGAGCGAACTACCAAAAGATTTTCCAGGGCAGGAAGTAAGCATTGACTTCGCGGGGCCTCTGAGGCCGTGCACGCGCAGAGGAAACTGTTACTTCCTGCTCGCTATTGACAACCATACCAAAGAAAAGATGCTCTGGCCCATGAGATCTGCACTCGAAGAAAAAGTAGTGGAATGCTTAAAAGAGTGGATCAAATGGCGTGGGAAGATGGTCAGTATCAGAGCGGATAATGCGCATAATATAAGCGGTAAACTAGTGGAAGATTTCTGTAAAGAGAATAAAATAATACTAGTGAAAAGCATACCCTATAGGCCCGAGACTAACGGGATCGCAGAACGCGCTATAAGGTCGGTAAAAGAATGGTTCGGAAAGAATAAAAACCTCGGAGAATGGGATACGCTTATTGATAAGTGTTTATTGCATCTCAACAGGTGTAATGCAGTGAACTTGAAGGAAAGGGAAATTGCTGAAAATCTGAGATTTGAAGTCGGAGACGAAGTCATTATTACCAGAAGACGGAAGGTAGGGAAGTTCTCAGAGGGCTCAGGGGTGATTGATACAGTTAAATCAATAACAGGGTCCAATACGGTCGAGTTACAGAATAACGGTATTCAGAGT